TCAAAATACTGTAATACGGCTAATACCACACACTAGGCGCAAAAATTATTGCAATAGTTAGGTTGGGTTAGACAATCCAATCCTACCGCACGTAAACTAATATGTAAGCAAGTCTGGAAATCAATGCGTCTTAACATCTAATGTTATAAACCAGCATATACGTACGGTATTCAGAAATTGTTGAACGAATTCAACAGAAATTCGAGATAGCAGCCGGAACAATGGGAATAGGTATAGGTATACTAAATCAACAGAATTTGTACGCGATTAACCTATAAATTAATAAATTATGCATAAATAAAAAGAAGTTTAATCAATCACTCAATTCGAAAATGCTATGCAGCTAAATGATATTCAAAAATGCTATCAGAGCCATGGTTGAATTAATATCATAGCTATGGGATCAATTCAACATCATAGCTCTGCATTCAACATAGCAGGGATCATAGCTATGCTATGATCCCTGGCTACAGCTCCGGGCTGGATAGTTCGGATCTATAAAATTCGTAAATCACGCGACTTGTCAAGGAAGGAAACTGAACAGCCTAACCAGCAGTGTGAGAAAATTGTAAATTCCCAACACTGATTGATCGTTCAATACCTGAAACTGATGACAAAGGGTTCACTTGGCATTTTAACTTGAAATCAACTCTGTGAACAGAGCCAGTCAATCGGTCATCAACGTCAAGAGAGGTTATTAGAGGATGTAAATCGGTCAGAATAGAAGCACATGTATACAGTATAATTAATGCATTGCAGCACTTCGCAAACATACGTGCGATCGAATTAGGTAGGTCAAAATGACGTAGATAAAAAAGTCGGGAAGAACTAAGTGGCCTCCCAGCCCCGGGATACATGTTCCGATAATTCTTGCTACCCGGAAGCTGAACAGTGATTAAGAAGTAACTAAACTTCAATTTACGACTTATACCCAGGCAATAAGGCGCGAAATATGTCGCAGGATGTGACATATTTCCCGCATGTTTCTGCATTTATATGAACCATATATATTACTTTGTTTATGCCACCATTGCCATAAATGTCACAGGATGCTCAGTTCTGTATTCACATGGTAAATAGTATTTAACTTTTACTGTCTCCTTGCCATGAATAGAACTCTATGTCAGGATTATGATACCTGATAAGTAAGTCATACATATGTGATACTGGATTATAACAAAGATGTATAGCACTTGATTAATTACACCGCGTTTTGTAAAGACCTAACTGCGATTGAAAGGGGGCATGAACTGCAATAACTTGGTGTCAAACGTCGGGGTTAGTTTACAACGTCAGCTACAGTGGTCGATGAGCTGGCAGCGTAGCTGTGCACCATCAATTTTGTGCACCAATAAGCCCTCAATCGAACGCCTTGGATCTCTCCGGATATCCACCAATCAGCCGTGCACCACTCGGCTTTGTCCTCCTCCGGCCTTGACCACCACCTGCCGCGTATACTTCTAAAGAGGCTTGCGTCTCCGATGTTACACATGTGCAATGAATTTCTTACTTTCTTTGAAATATATTTTCTGATCTTACATCCAGGGCAGTTGTGGTCTTCGGCAGGCGACCCGATGAGCTCAGGGGTCTTGACACCTCTACAGCAGTCACCGCCCAAATTCACTACCTCTACAGCAGTCACCGCCCAAATCACTAAAATAAGCATTTAGACGCTGAGATAAGGACAGAAGCAGTCGACAGGGCTAGTAGTGCCAACCGACAGAAATGTAGCACGTTACATAGCGTCATAGCCTTCACGGACTGCTGCTAACTATGCAGGACGGAAAGGACCGAGCCCACTACCGACAACACGAAATGCAACGCTCTGTTAGGTCTGACTTCTGACAGTTCGAGATGTTTTAGTAATAGACTTTACGTAACCTGGGAGGAGTATTGCGCTGAATAAAAAATGTCTGACCAGCGATCCGAAGGATGTAGGGATTCTACAATAGGAATTGTAAAATATTTGAACTTACTTTCATGAGTAACTCGACCATGAAACTAGAGAATCTTTCTATGAATACGAATGATAGCGCTTGTTTTGTGCGACATCGCGAAGAAATAAACTTTCATTTTCAATCAACGCATCGCCAGTAGCTATTCTATGTTGTCAGATTCGTCCGATTTCGTTAATTATTGATTAAGTTTCGAAAAAATTCCATATGAAAAGTGGCCTGTTACTAGCTGTCCGTAGACTCGGGCATTGTATTTTCATCATTGCCGATGGAATGTTTCGTTGAAAAATGCTCGATTCGAAATCTTCAATTTATCAAGATTACCTATATAATTCAGTGCAATTCAGAATCGTGCTACAACCTCATTTTTGATACCAGTGTCTGTGACACGTGAAAAACGTTCACATTGAAAAACAATTACAATGGTTTCATTCGGTAAGGATCCACACAAAGAATTCATCGCGCGACGAACTTTCAACTGTTCATTCCCTTCACCTAATTGTACCATCCAGCGCATAATTATTATAACGTTTCGGAGTGCGCTAGAATCAAGCTGATTGATAGTTCTGAGGTGAATAGGTACGTAGAATTAAACTTATTTTCATTACAGTTTAGTGTAAAATAGTTCATGACCTAGAATTTTTGCATAAAACAAAAGTTCATCATTTATCAAATATTTCGGACGAAATTCAAAACATGAACAGATGAACTCAAACGAATGAGAAGAAATTTCATTAAGTCGGACTTTCCTTAGTAAACAATACGAGCAACTTAAAATTTTAACCTTCCATTTCTCCGCACAATAGCTTCGAAGTTGTTCAATACAGACTACTTTCGCGGAGCTTGGAGCTTTATCATCCCACTGTAGATGAAAGTAAATGCGCAGTTACGCTGAAAACAACGTCAGTTTGGCATGAATTTATCCTACCCTGCATTCAAAACCTCATTTCTAATTTTATAGGCTATATAAATAAATTCTAACGCGACAGAAATCACGGCTGGCAATGAAATAGGACAGTATCCAGAGAGAATTTAATGAAATAATCTTAGCAGACTTAAATTGTCAACACAATTTTTGGCATAAATGATGAAGAGAACGTCGGAACGTGCGGTATGCATAAAATGTGAAGACTTCCGTTACGCAGTTAAGCAGGGTACATGAAACAAACACTACAGTTTTCAAAAAGGTTTGACCAGGTCGTCATTTGATTGCCCTGAAAATTGAAATTAGAAGCGAATCCACCAAAAATTATGAAGACTACATGTCAAGTTATACAAAATATCGGATGCGTCCTGTCTAATCGTTTTTTGTACAAGGATGAAAACTATTGCTGAATAACTGAAAGTTAATTCAGAGCCTCGTGTGGCGGTCGTTCCTCCAAGGAGGCTTCCTTTGTCGCATATTTGACTGGAGGAACAAGCAAAATGTTCACTTTGATATGGCAGGTGACATTAAACAAATAAATCTTTTCTGTACAAACCTGTCATTGGGAAAAAATCATCCGAACCTCGCCTGAAGCCTCTTGACCTGAAGCTAGTGAGAATAAACAGCGTATCCTTCTATCGTATAACAGCGTATCGTAAAAGCTGATAGCTTCAATAGCCTCCTGACAGCGCTGGCAACGGTTCTGACTTACTAGCCGTGGTGCTGCTCCGACCGCACCAAAAAATTTTATATAATATTAGATATAGAATGTGAGAGCGACACGAGTGGTATAGAATGTGAAAGCAAATGAGAGTGATAGAAGTGGTATAGAATCTTTAGAATGAGAGAGCAAGTGAGAGCGACACAAGTGGTATAGAATGTGAAAGCAAATGAGAGCGGAAGTGGCATAGAATCTTTAGAATGTGAGAGCAAGGGATAGCGACACAAGTGATATAGAATGTTAGAGCAAGTGAGAGCGACACAAATGGTATTGAATGTGAGAGCGACACTAGTGGTATTGAATGTAAGAGCGACACAAGTGGTATAGAATATAAGAGCAACACTAGTGATATTGAATGTAAGAGCAACACAAATGATATTAAATGTAAGAGCGACACAAGTGGTATAATATAACCACCTTAAAATCGTCGATGCCGTTCTTGCCGAGACGGAACTCAGAGGAGCAGATGAGGCTGCGCATGAGGTCCTTGGCTTGCTCTGATACTTGGTATTCCAAGTCCGACGGGAAGTCAAAGCAGTTCTGCCAACACAGAAATTTTGTTGGTTCACATGGCTGGTAATGCAGGGGGGATTTGGTCAGGGCTACCGATAACAAACAGCCTGGCCTGAATGAAAGCCGCATTTTCGCGGTTCTGTATCTAGGATTTGGCAGATAAGACAGCGCCAGGTTAATTGCGAATAAATGGTATTAATATAATCGGGTTGGATACAAGTAAAAACTTTTTGGGCTCTATATACGTAATAGGAATTTGGAAAGTATTAATAGCTGACTTCGTCATTGAAGAAATCGTTATATAGTACCGATTTTATTTATGTAATGAGACTAGAGTTAAGGGAGTGGCAGGAATTACAGCACGAGACCAGCATTACCGAAGAGTGTAGCTGACCTCATAGTTCACAATCTCACCTTACGGTTCATAATCTCACCTTATGGTTCATAATCTCACCTTATGGTTCATCACCTCACCTTATGGTTCACAATCTCACCTTATGGTTCATGATCTCACATTATGGTTCACAATCTCACCTTATAGTTCATTATCTCACCTTATGGTTCACAATCTCACCTTATGGTTCATTATCTCACCTTATGGTTCATTATCTCACCTTATGGTTCATAATCTCACCTTATGGTTCATAATCTTGCCGTATGTCTCGACGAGACTCTCAGCATAGAAGGGTGTCTCGCAGTAGATGGTTCATGATCTCACATTAAGGTTCACAATCTCACCTTATGGTTCACAATCTCACCTTATGGTTCATGATCTCACATTATGGTTCACAATCTCACCTTATAGTTCATTATCTCACCTTATGGTTCACAATCTCACCTTATGGTTCATTATCTCACCTTATGGTTCATTATCTCACCTTATGGTTCATGATCTCACCTTATGGTTCATAATCTTGCCGTATGTCTCGACGAGACTCTCAGCATAGAAGGGTGTCTCGCCGTAGAGCATCTCGTACATACACACGCCCAGCGACCACCAGTCGCACTCTCGGCCGTACCGCCCCTGCCCGTCCTCCATCGCCTGCCACATGCAACAATAAACTCAGTAACATGCAAGCCTTGTTACAACCTGGCAATTATACACTAAACTTTGTATATTAGAGTATATTGAAATATACAGAGATTTAAATGAATATTTAGACAAATGAAGAATAATTTATCAATTAACACTAATTTAACGATTTGATTTTGAACTGCCATCGATGGCATAGTCATGGAATAAAATTTCGCGTATCTCAAACGGAAATGAATCTTTTTGATAGTCCCTCCTTGAACAGGTTTAATCAGAGGTTGGAATGCAACATATGCCTAACATTGAACTTCATCTTTAAAATGCCGAAGAGAGATATAAGTCAAAAGAAACATGGCGCTAATCGAGAGGCAGATAATATCGCTTGCTCTACTTGGTTCACGCAGGGCAGCTATGAACACACTGCGGAGCGCGTGGGTTGAGGACGTTTGGCTTATTTGTACTAAGGCAATTTTTTGGTTAAACGCACGCGTGAAATTCGAAAAAAAGACCCCATTCCAAAGTCAACCAAGGAAACAGCCATTTTTAGACATGCTTAATAAAAAGTGTATAATAAATTGTGTTATAGATAAAGCATTTATAACTTCACACAATTCAACAACACAATTTTATGCAATTCAAGATGAAATAAATGAAATGAGTTGCCGAAATACATTGTGTTAATACAAGCTGTGAAGTACGTTAAGCTCGTCACCTTCTTAGCCCCCAGCAAATAGGCTACAGGGAAGCCATGTTAAGCCGTTTAAGGCCCAAGTATGGCTCCGTACAAATGGCATTGCAACTGCAGAATGTTACCTACTAAAAATTCTTCTGCTATTGCATTAACTTTTTAATGTATTATTACCTTAACGAATCTTCGAAGGTAACAACGAGTTGCTTCGTTTTCTCGAAAACAAAATTACTTCTTTTAGAATGTAGGAAGGGCGAATATCGCTCGAAAATTTTTCAATTCTGGTCAATAATTTTGTTCTTGAGTTAGTTAAGTTCCCACATGTTTACTACTGTACTGCTTCAGCTGTTTAGCTATCTCGCACCAAAAGTCCAGATGGACATCACCAACGAGGTGGGAGGTCTCAATTATTAAAAGTTTCTTAAATTCAGAATCGTTCATCACCCACAAGGGGCGGAAGGTCTCAATTGTCCAGCCCGCTGAAGCTGGCTCGAAAGAAGCAGCGTTAGCATCTCAAAGAGACGAAGTGACAAGGAGGGACAGGTGACAAGTAACAGAAACGAAGACACTCGAACAAGAGGTCGCTTACACGGGGCCGCCCGCACGAGAGAGACAGAGGAGGGAAATGTAAGGAATCCTACCTACATAATAACTTAATGCAAGGAATCCTACATACATAATAACCCCACAACTGAGACCTGCAGTCAGACACCGCAAGTTCAGCGACGGGGCGCTCAGGAACAATCCCCCTAGAAGCGTGTAATCCCATAGGACTTCTGACTAGTACAGACACGCGTCAGAATTCCCTCCTAAGGGGTTTCGTATTTGAGCCAATGTTTAAAGTTAAGAGTAGAAGCGAACTAGGAAGCCGAATAGACGCAAGATATGAATGAAACGTTCACGCCAAAGAATTTATCTACACATATCAGACTAAACGAACAAACGCTAAAATAAAACATCGAACAGCAGCAGCATGGACAACTGATATTGCTACGTACAGAATCCAACTCCGGACTCAATGCAAACACAAAGTTTTCGTAGAAACGAACGCACACAAACACACCAACTTAACAGATACCACAGAGATGAACAGATACCACAAATTAGGTGAATGGGCTGCTATGGCTGACAATATTTGATCCTCAATAAATGGTCCTCAAAAGCACGAGATCAGAGTACATAAAGTAAAAATATAACTCAGTACTCACTGCAGTGAGTGACAGAGAGCGCATTTTTTCGTCGACGAAAACTTGAGGTCACGGACAGACGGACAGACGGACGGACGGACATGGCGAGCACAATAGTGCATTTTTTCCATAAATGAGAAAATGCGCTAAAAAAGGGACTTCACTACTACAAGTTACTTCACACGACGGACGAGAAGTTCTTGCACATAAAGTTGGGTCTATAACAAATTGAACACAACTCCTCACCGAGCTCACTTTGGAATGCAGAGACAAACATTGTTAGACTTACAACCAGAACGTATGGCCCATATAGTAGCACATACATCAAGCCATGGAATTTTTACACAATTTTGAAAAACTACGTGGCAAATAGCAAAGTATTCATTTATCACTGATGTTAAACACGGGAAAAACATTATTGCCTCAAATTAAGCTCGTAAATATTAAATAAATTTAATTATTTATTTTATTTAACCAATTTAACTTCAATGTGGCGATTAATATCAGATTATCAAAATTTCTTTCCCGGTTGCTAAACACGAGAAAAAAAATCGGAATGATATTTTTAGTGCCACAGTCACTGTAGAGCGCGTTGATGTTATAATAATATAGTAATAATATAGTAATAATAATAAAGTAATACTAATATAATCATATGTTATAATAATAATATAGAGACATGTTACCAAACATTGCCTCAAAATGGAGCCGCAAACATTGCATCGAGCCGAATTTAGGCACCAATTCAAGTGATCATAAATGATAACTTGCTCAGTAAAAAATAAATATTTGCATTATATACCTAATTATAAATGTAAATACTTGCAATTTTGTCCAAAAATGCGCAATGCTAAAAAAAGCCTAGCGTACTAGAGTTACAAGAGCAAAGAGAAACGACGACAGCGAAGTGTTTCACCCCAACGCATTCACCCTCAAGTGTTTCAGACGCATTTGTCTGAAACAAAATACAAACAGAATAAGAATAAGATCGCTAATGTCGCCTGTGAAGCTTTTTAGCTTATATGGGCATTCGCATGGAAGCATTTTGTATTTTTTTTCTCCAAATTTTTGTCATTTTCTTGTTATGAAATTTTTTTGTATGCTCCTGTGTGAATAAAGAATAAAGAAAGAATAAAGAAAGAAAGAAATGTCGAAATAATCGAGAAAACTGTCACCATTATTGAGCCAAAGTCATGGAAAACAATGGGTTTCTTTATTACCTTCAGTATCACTGACGAAGGTTAGAGGCAGCAACAAACAGCAATGGTACTAATTATTATACTAATTACTTACTAATTAGTAAGTAATTAATTACAATACTAATTAATTAACAGCAACTATAACATCGCGCACACACACTTAATAAGAATACACTGTTAGAAAAAACGGTCCCACCGGCATCCTAGTGGCCGGTCGCCCCGTGAAAATAAACTGTTTCGCCGTTTTTATCAGATGTTTTACGGATTTCTGGTGTTAAATTGGAATAAAAACGGTGAAACGGTGTTTCTTTTCACGTGCCGACCGGCCACTGAAACGCCGGTAATACCGTTAACGGTAATTTTTCTAACAGTGTAGGTAGATCAGGGAGAAGTAAGAAATGAAAGAAAGCAACGCCTGTTCTCCACAAAACCGCACAATTGAGTCCGAAGCACACATTTAATTAAAGAGGACGAGACAAAATAGATCATTTGTGTCACACTTTGTACACATAATTTTCAGAAGCATATTAATTCCTAGCACTTTAAGCGAATACAATCAACTGCCCAGGATATGGGCAAACTTGAATTTCGTTACATGGTTGATGCAAGAACGATGAATATGTTGGTACACACGCAGCTACACTGTTAGAAAAATTACCGTTAACGGTATTACCGGCGTTTCAGTGGCCGGTCGGCACGTGAAAAGAAACATCGTGTCACCGTTTTTATTCTAATTTAACGCTATATATCCGTAAAACATCTGATAAAAACGGCAAAACAGTTTATTTTCACGGGGCGACCGGCCACTAGAACGCCAGTGGGACCGTTTTTTCACCGTTTTTTCTAACAGTGTAAGCCTCTGAGGGTCTACATCTGCCATAATACAACGACCAGCACAGACTAAAAGCCGTGACTAAGAAAAGCCTACAAGCAAAACATTGGTAAGGATAACGCGGCACGGAAGCGCTATTACTACACAATGAAGAGCAACATAGACTTTATGATGCAGGTCTACGTACCTGGCCATCCCCCATCGCCTACACAAAAAGAAAACAACATCAGAAAAGAAAACAACATGAGAAACTTTCGTAACGCCACCACACGCCGCACACGGAGCTCTTGACTCAAGTTAATATAATATTTAAAACGTGGAGCCTATATCATAGGACATAGCTCTAGGCTACACGTACACGCGTCAGAACAATAAAGTTGTTCAGTCTCGAGAATCTCAAAGACTGACAATATAATGAGGAATAAATCCATTGAAGTATTATTTTTTGGTGAGTTCATTGCCAGACGCAAAAATAGAATCCTGTGTTTTTTACATACTCAACCACTTTGAATGACATAGTAAAGAGAGGTGGTAATCAAAATAGAATTGACAGACAATTCACAGTTGAGGAGAACTTCGTCTGGAGTGTCAGTGGAAGGCCAGTAATCTCAGGGCACAGTACAAAGAATACATTACAGGAACTGTGCAGTGTATAGAACTGAGCTGTGCACAACTGTACGTAGGTATAGAACTGATCGCAAGAGAACAAGTGCCACAAGAACAGTCATGTGTGCATACAAACAACAAAACAAGTGCAATTATTACAAAATCAAGAAAAAAAGGCCGTTGTGTCAATAGTTCCCGCGTCGCTGGTGACGCGGGAACACCTATGTAAAAAAGTAACACCTATGGTCGGAGCAATTCTCGATTAAAACAAACGAAAACTAATATCATGAAGATTTATCACTCCAAAGAATGAAGTTTTTTTTAGAATGTTTTGGAATTTAAAACCCTTTACAAGAAACTGATATTAGAGATTTCAATGGTTCAGTCGAGTTACCTAGTTCAAAGAAAATTAAAGAAAGGGCTCCAGAGGAAGGTAATGCTGATGATTCATATTCATGGATACAAATTATGAACCAGGGGCCATACTTTCAAAACTCGCTAAGTGAACGTAAGTACTTACGCTCTATTTTCTTGTCTATGATTGGCAGATTTAGCTTGAAAGGCCGTCAATGATTGGCTGATGAACTTACGATCTCTTAACTTTTTTTGAAAGTATAGGTCCCAGGCCAAAACTCGCTAAGTAGCTACATGTAGCAGCTGATTTCCGTAAGTAATTAATGAGTTTAATTTGAAAAGCCGTCAGTTTTTGGCTGACAAGCTCAAGAACTTTTGGAAAGTATGGCTCCAGGTTCATGATCGACTCCAACTATCCTAAGGGATTTATAGAAGCCGGGCTAGAGGTTCAACAATAAACCATGAAAATACTCCATAATTTCCCATAAACTTAAAAGTCTTTTAAAAATGCTTGCGTGCGCGGGTTTGAAGACACTTGAAATATTTATCTGAGAAGATAAATCTATTCGTAAATAGTCACGATGATAGAGCAAATGATGAAATTGTAAGATATCGACATCGTGGACCAACATGTTGGGAAGGAATTGTCTGCGCATTGATTCACTTTACTATTTCACTTTATTCACTTATATTATTTTATTATTCACGTACGTACTGATGCAAGTGGCCGCACATATGAGACCTGAAGCTATACGAAGTGAGCTGGATGCTATATCGGCTTAGTGTACAGCATAACCTATGGACTGAATTAAGAGATACATGCAGAATGTCGAGACCATCCAAAACACTCTGAACTTCAATCCGTTATCATGCACAATTTGGACATAATCATAATAAATGCGAGTGCAAATGTCCAGAATTAATCCAAGCCATCAATAATATAATAACAACATCCAATATAAAATGTTCTACCGTTACAAAAAAGCTTGAAAATGATTTGTTTGATTTCATCAATTTGCTATTCAGGGGCCAATAAAAGGCAAAATTATTAAAATTCTAGTGCCACTACAATAAGGAAACAGCCTCCTAGAATACCGTCTAAATACTTAAATGAAACTAGAATCAATAATTTCCTACTAAAAATAAATAAGTATATACGAAAAACTTCCAAAATATTTAAAATTATGCCGAAGATAAACGACCTCTTTAAGTGATGGTCAGAAAGGGTCTATAAGATAGCAATGAAAGTTGATGTAGGGACCAGCAACATGACACGCACCCTGAGTATCCCTGAGTATCTCTGGGGAGATGTAGTCGGGGGTGCAATGAGATGTAGGAGATGTAGTCTTTATAATAGCAATAAAAGTGATGTAGGGGCCAGCGACAAGACACGCACCCTGAGTATCTCCGGGGAGATGTAGTCTGGGGTGCAATGAGATGTAGGAGATGTAGTCTTTATAATAGCAATAAAAGTTAATGTAGGGGCCAGCAAAAAGACACGCACCCTGAGTATCTCTGGGGAGATGTAGTCGGGGGTGCCGACAGCGACGTTGCTCTGCACGGTGCCGTCCGCCAGCAGCTTGAGGCAGGACCCGAAGTCGGCGAGGCGGATGTGGCCGTTGGCGTCCAGCAGCACATTGTCGGGCTTGATGTCCCGGTGCACGTACTGCAGCCGGTGGATCGAATCTGCGGTACAGTCCAGTCTTAAGGGCCCAATACACAATTGCAGCCGGTGGATCGAGTCTGCGTCGAGTCACAAGCGTCACAGCGCAATGTCAGAACTGAACCACGGCATCTTAACACTGCGGGGAAATCATTCAATTGAGGAATCATTTATCCAGGAAATCATTTGACTAAGTGTGGAAATATAGACTGGCATACTCACCGATGGCAAGTATCATCTCGGCAATATAGAACCTGGCCATGTCTTCAGGTAACCTGTCCTCAAACTTGCTGAGCAGCGTCAGCAGGTCACCCCCGCAGTAGTAGTCCATCACCAGGTACTGCAGTGACCACAAGCAGCGTTAGTGCTTCACGATATTTATTTTGATAAATATTTATTGTGATAAATATTTATTATGACAAATACTTATTACGATAAATATTTATTATGATTATAAATATTTCATTCAATGGTGACAACACAACAGCCAGGACAACGTATAGTATAATAAATGTTATAGTGACACTAAAACTACCTAGCACACGTTGAAGACAATAAGGAGGCCTCGTCTGCCGTACAAACTTAACACGTAACTTCAAGTGTATAAAACAAACGTTCATGAGAAATTAACTCAGAATTTACATAAGCGAAGTGTACTTCAATGAAGATCCTAGCTACAGTATTGAAAATGAAGGAATTATAAGGTTCAAACGAAAATAAGTAGTAAATCAATCGCTTGAAATAAAAAAATATAGTACCGGTATCGGGAATCCCATTATAAAAAATTAAAAAATAAACCTAGTGTATGCATGTTAAAGAAAGCCCTGTCCAAACGAACATTTCGCAGGTAACTATAGAACTCCCATTTGACTCCCATGACCAAACGTAAAAAATTTATTTGTCTTGTAAATAACTAATTGAAAATCAAATTTGAAATTTTGATCCTATCTTTACCATCCAGCTTTGCAATACTTTACTATTATACTATTACAATATATTCTAGAGTCTCGGTAATATCCCAAAACGATAATTATTAGGATGCAAACTCAAACAGCCCCTTTATATTTGTGGTGCTAGGCTACAAAACACCACAATTATTTGAAAATATGTACCTACACACTAGAAGAAAATGGATTAATGAGATGACACATTTTAGTCTCTGAATTACGCTGTTACATTTTTATCAGACATTAATGGAGATTAACATCTTGGAAACATAATAAGCGCCTAGATATCCAGAGCGTGTCTCAATCGACCAATACTTCAACCCTCTACCAGTCTACTGCCTGACATGAGTAGGAGCAATATTGTCACGCGCCTACTTCCCAAAAAGGATACGTTCTGGTGAGCGCAAAATGACTTGCACTGATGGTTGCCGCCACGTACGACAACTCTAACATGTTCTCTGTTGCGTACAAACGTCCTCAGGTTGCAACACTTAATAGTTTACGTACTCACTTATAATTTAAATTGAAAGTCATGTTCCCTGAAAATGATATACGGCAGTAGAGGGTTAAGTGATGCCGTTACTGATGCTGATCTGTGAATGTGCACAGGTTGAATATGACGGCTTACACGTCACTCGTGAGAAGTTAAATATTTGCTGGTTTTATTTCCCTGGCTTTGGTATAGTTAAGAACAACTCTCAATTGAAGCCGCGTTCTCGTCAGAAAAGCCGATGGGATTCGTTGATAATTCAACACTAAATGATAATTGATAAATTGATAATTCAACAATAAAAGTAAAAAAGCAAAAAATAATGTCTCTAGAGATACACTAAGGGCCTTAAGTCCAGGATTAGAACTCAGAAACGAATAGTAAGAGCTTAAAACTTAGACATCAAAAACCAAAAGTTAAAGCTCAAGAAATAATAGAGCTGAGCAACCAAAAGTTAGACCTCATGAACTGGGCAGGCAGACGCTTAGCGTTCTACACCCACCAGGTCACATGTTTTTTAATTGTCATTTATACCATTTTAATCAATTGGTAGTCGTGGCTGTAATCATCGTTATGACTCCGAGTTAATTGTCATTTACAGTTTAAGCTTAAGAACAACTAGAGCTGAGCAACCAAAAGTTAGACCTCATGAACTGTACACTAGGACGCTTAGCGTTCTACACCCACCAGGTTGGTGTCGTCCTGGAAGGCGTAGTGCAGGTTCGTGATCCAGCGCTGGTCACCGAACACCAACACGTCGCGCTCCTCGTGGAAGCACGCTGTCTCCGCTCTGGTCACAATACCATCATTTATGTTTACTCAACACTAACACCTACATTGAATATTTCACTAACATACATATTTATACATATTTCACTAACAATACATATTTCACTAAGACACTAACAGATATTGAATATTTCACTAACATACATACATATTTATACATATTTTACTAAGATACCTACCTATATTTCAATAACAACCTACATTGAGTAGTATAGACAAGATGAAACGAGCGAAAAGTTTATTTCTGCCGCACGAGTTCAAAGCAAATAAAAATAAGCAACAGTATGGAAATGAGAAACGCTTAACTTGGCATATAAATAAGAAGCTGATTTACAGTTGTTATCTCGAACTGCAAATACCATAACTTCTCTAAAAAACAATGCGATGAATCCATATACCTGTAGACAACATAGATAGTTTCGAGTCTCGCGAAAGAGGATTACGATTTGTCGTGTATTAAAGAAAGAGCGGAATATGCTAATATTTCAGGATAGGCCGAACATGCTAAATATTTTAGGAAAATTCTAACAATTGCGACTATTGAGTGGAATGCAAGTGCATGTAAGGGACAAATAAATATCGCCAAGGCATCGGCACGCAGTTAATTGGCACGTATAGCAGCGCGGGACGTGGTGATGGGATCTTGGTGCGGCAACGCATGCCCAACATTTCTTTAAAGCAGGGTTGGCGATTTTTTGATTTATTCATGATTTTTTTCATTTATTTGATTTTTTATTTTTTCAGTTTTATCGTCTTTTTGAAGTGTTATTTTTTTATGTTGCAATTAGCCTACTAACAATAACAGCATATGGATCATAATGTATGGCTAAAAAGGGCACTTATTGACTTCAATAATGGCCAACAGGCCAAGGTGGTGTTTACCACTTAGGGATTTTTGGGTAAACAAATATTGATAAGTCTATTCATTAGCTTTGTGAAGTTTGTATGGAGCAAGGTAAGGAGCTAAATATTGACCATTTAACTGGCTTCAATATACAAAAACACTTCAGGAATGCAGATCTTCTAAACATTGAAGAGTCACATAACAGATAGGTAGCTGATAGTACAGTGCACAACACTATCAATAGATCTACTAGTTTTATGTCCTATAAATCTACCAGACTCTACCCTCTATACACACCGACTAGTAGTGACTGAGTGACTGACTGCACTGTTCCCACTTAATTCAGACCAATAAAACAATACTAAACATAAACTGAACGATAACCAAACAAACCTCATACGACTTGAAACAAGACTTGAGTTATGAGAAAATCTAACACTGTTTGAAATGAACCTGTGCACAATTCAAATATTTTATATCCATTCACTGCATTTAATTATTTTATATATATATAAATAGTCTTATAATTGTAATTATTTTTTTTTAGTTTTAAATTTAAAGATTGAAATTAAATATTTCAATTAGAACACCCGTATTAGGGTGGAATATCTTTCCAATTCCCTAAAAGGTCAATACAATATCAACCTCTCAATATACAGGGTAGGGCAGAGCCGATTGAGCAGTTTTGAGGTAAAATAAATGAGTAATGGAGGTACATAAAGAAGAAAGTTTATTTTCCTAGAGGTTAGCATAACATACCATTTAGAATACTTATGTTTTGAAAACAATATCTGGAAGATGGGGGCTGTTAGCTGCAACACATTGTTGGAGTCGTTCTCAGAGGAGGGGGTAACCGTAACAGTGAATTCCGATCGCTATGCTGCAATGTTGCAAAATTTCTTGCAGCCCAGGATGGAAAACATTGTTGAAAATGAAGTATTGGGAGACGTGTGGTTCCAGCAACATGGGGCTACAGCTCACACAGCCCGAATGTCACTCAATGTTTTGAAATGCATGTTCCCAGACTCTGAGGGGTGATTTACAATGGCCTGCGAGGTCACCTGATTCGAGTATTTGCAATTTCTTTCTTTGGGGACATCTAAAAGAAAGAGGTTCAGAAGTCGCCCTCACACCCTACCACAGCTTAGGGAACGGATTATTGCAGCAGAGGTTATGGCCATACCTTGCCATATGTGTGAACGTGCTGTAGGAAACTTCCAAGAACGACTCCAACAGTGTGATGTAGCTAACAAACCCCATCTTCCTGATATTGTTTTCAAAACATAAGTATTTTATGGTATGCTATGCTAATCCTGAGGATAATAAACTTTCTTCTTTATGTACCTCCATTACTCTTTTATTTTGCCTCAAAACTGTTCAGTCAGTTCTGCCCCACCCTGTATAAGCTAGCTAACACATTTAAATTGTATATTGTAATAAATATATAACAAATACCTAGTCAATAGTTAAAGACTACTTATAGCCTAATAAGAATTAGCTAAGCTGCTAGCTACGTACAATTTATTGCACACTTGATGCCTCTGTACCAAAAACATTCAATTTATTGGAACCTAATACGCACTAAAGGCAACAAGTTTATATACAAATTTGTCATTCATAGTACATTTATACTAAACCATGAATAACAATACCTCAATATAAATTAAAGACTGCAACTCAATATATTTAAATATATGAAAAAATCAAAAAATTCAAAAAAATCATGATTTTTTTTATAAAAAAATCAAGTGATTTAATCACATGATTTAATCATTTTGATTTAATCATTGACAACCCTGCTTTAAAGTATAAATAACAAGATGATGTTCTCTTGAAGAAACACTGATCGGACTCAGTAATACTGCTAACCTATGAACATTAATAAAGAAACGTAAACATTGATTGCAAAAAGTCATCAGTGTGCTATTGTGTGAGCATCACAGTCTGCATTAATTGATGCTGGTACGGGATGTAATCTCAAGTGCACGCGGTAGGTATATTTGCAGCAGCACTGGAAAAATGTTGCACGTGCATATGTTCAAATACAATAATATAATAATAATAATAATAATAATAATAATAATAATAATAACAGCGTTCCAGCGTTTACTAGGACGTACGCCTGTCGCCGATTCTTAACATCGCAGAACATTCACAACTTGTTACAGTCTCGAACACGCAACTCATTGATACAATTCTGCTATGCTTCACTGCCCGGCCTTCTTGCCGATTCTGACCAGAAACTGCCGTACAGAGCTGGGTTCGAACCCGCACCTCTCTGCTCCAATCCTAGTACTCTGAACTGTAACCACTGGGCTACCCTGCCCCATTACAATTACAACAGATCAATATAAATTAAACAGCGATTATTCAAGTTATTGAATTCAGACAGCCAACAACATAATTTAGCAAAACTCTAAGTTAAAAATGACAAATGCAGAAGTATCATATTTACAGCCCATATTCCTGATATACTGTATACAGACTGCAGCAGTTGCTGACAGAGGCGCTGGTCTCACCTCTTGAGCATCTCCCACTTGTTGAGGATCTTCATAGCGAAGACCTTGTCTGTGTCACGCAGCTTCACGACGCACACCTCGCCGAACGCGCCGCGTCCAATCACCTGATACGTTTAATGTAATTATTAGCTACCCAATATATTATTATTATTATAATGATGCAACACAAATTATATTATTTTTTGAATGTCAAGAATGTTTGCCATTACAATGGCAAACAATTACAATGTTTCTTACACAATGTAACACAATAGAAAATATATAACGCAGAGGTAGCTAATTTCGAACAACATTTTCTCCATACTAGTTCAAAGAAATATAATGACGTGTGTGAATACAAAATACAACTCCGCTTCAAGTTTCGTTAAGAGGGCCGAACGATAAAGTGCACCCGAATTGCAGCGAATGTTTCTTCATCAGAATGTCAACGCAAACTAAACAATAAAAATTGTAAAAGTTAGACCGCACAAATTAGAACGAGTGATCCATTGGCTATAGTAAATTTAAACTCGTGCTGCGAGTTTCCAATCTTAACTTAGCTGCATTCTGCCTGCATCTTCACGCATTTTGGCCATTCTCAATTAACACGTTGACTCCGAAGTGGTATATATGCGTACCACGAAATATATTTCTCCAGGACGAAGTGGTGCATAATTCAGGTTGCCTAAAATCGGCCAAATCTGAGAACAAAAAAGGCCAAAAAAGGCCGATAACCCAATATATACTAGTTTATTTGTAGGTTCCGCTATAAAAATTCCATTTATTTTCTTTCCAGTACTTAAAATTTAATAAGGAAGTACCCCTATCATAAATTTTAGCCGGCCAACGCAATTGAGATAAACTAAATCGCGGAATTTGTCCGGCAAAAATAACCGTCTGGCAACCCTGTTTAAAAACAGTACAAAAAAATAAATAATAGTGCAAGATGAAGCAATCTTAGTCAACGTGTTAACGCACTTAAACCGTTTGTTCCTCGAGCACGCGTGTATATTCGCTTACTAATTCGTCAATTTTACGGTCATTTATCACAAGTCAGTTTAAAACAATTTAGCACGAAAGAAGCAAAGTCATTAGTGGGTAAAATGAAATATTTGTAAATTAAATGCAAATGTGTCATCATAGAACACACGCAATAACACACTTTTGGCAAAGGTGCGCAATTCCAGTAAATAAGGCACACAAAACAATACATTTAAAAACGTCAGCTCGAATGCATCGCAAAACGACCGGCAATACAGTTAAGAGACGAAATTATTCGTACCCTCCTTTCTTCTCAATGTTCTTTTGAATAACTCGAACCTACGTAATGAATGTATGAGCGTAAGATTGGATTGAACTAAGCAGTATGTAATAGAGAAAATAACACTACATTTTTAAAATAAAATGTAATGTTCAAAACGTTTAAACAAGTAAAATTTCCCCAGCACTTACAGACACAATTATTTGTACAGTTGGATAATACTAAAAAATAATAACATATATGTACCGTAATATAAGTAATCAAAGATTAATAGAGACTGCTCGATGTTATCAAGATGAAAGGATATGCCAATGGCCTTCTATCTTGCATGATAACCTTCGGCAGTCTCTATCTATCCCTGCGGGAAGGATCACTTTCCGTGGCAGGGGCAAGGCTGTTCAACGCCCTACCAAAGGATCTAAAAGAGGGGGAGTTCACCCTGGAGACCGTCAAGAGACAACTGGACGTTTTCCTGGGCACAATCCCAGATCGACCTCCCCTGCAACACTACCAGCGGCGAGAAGCAAGCAACAGCATCGTGCATCAGGTGGCCCAAATGAGGGCGGATGAACGATAACCAAAGGCGGCGATCCATCGTGGCCTGGGACTGCTATGTCCCAAACAAGTACCAAGATTACCAAGATTACCTATATAGATTTGACGAGATTCGTAGTGGTATCCGGTTGGATATTATCCCATTCTTCAAATGCGACTATAGTTTCAATTCTTGTCGACTATTGGGCGCCCGATTCTTGATTCTAACTTTCAATTCCTGCCATTAATTCTCAATCGGGTTCAAGTCGGGCCTATTTGCTGGCCATGGAAGAAAAGGCTCCTTAGTTGCATTAAGCCTAGTAGTCGTAGCTATCGGCATATGCTTGGAATCATTATCTAGCTGAAGGATCTATCGTCGTACAAGACCCAACTTTAGAGTGGATGTTAGCAGGTTTTCCTTCAAAATCGATATATAAACATACGAGTTCATTATTACATCAATTGGAACCAACTTGCCAGTGCTATACTTGAGGAGAAACAACACCAAAACATCGTTGACCCACCCCCAGACTTGACTGTTGGGATTGTTTTCTTCGGAAGGAAAGCTTTGCCTTTTCAGCACTAAATCTTCTTCATATTATTATGTCCAAATAGCTCAATTTTTATTTCTTCACTCCATAATACTAGGTGCCAAAAGCCTCCTTCTTTGCCCACGTAAGATCTTGCAAGTATGCTAACAAGCAGCAACATGACGTCGTGTGAGAAGTGCTACTCGTCGAGGTCTGCATCCATGCTGGCCATCCATGTTGAGACAACTCTGCATATGGTAAGCTGCCTCCCGCTTGTTCCCTCACTGGTTAATCTATAATTAACAATATCCTTCAACACTCTTGGATTCATATTTATCCCACGACACAGTTTTGGAACTTATCGTCCCGATAGTTTGGGCTTCCGTCCTCATCCAGGCAACGTGTGTGCTCAGTACTGAACTCTACAAACGTATTTATCGTCCACTGTCTTTATCATTTAATATTCAGGCGTTTCGAGATGCACGCATAACCATTGCCGGATTTGTGTAGGCCAATAATTTTGCTTCTCAAATTCACACGGAGCCCCTTCATTTTGCCCATCTTGAAGTTTGCAGTCAAATGGCATGAACCGGCACCTCTTTTATGACGTTACTGATAATAATGCCCACTGGGATGATATCAAACATGATATATATCACTGCGTATCTCCTCAAGAACTATAGAGACTGCTGGAGGTTATCAAGATGAAAGGACCTGGGGCCATAGTTTAAAAAAAAGTTAAGAAATCGTAAGTTCATCAGCCAATCATTGACGGCCTTTCAAGCAAAATCCACCAATCATAGATAAGAAAATAGAGCGTAAGTACTTACGTTCACTTAGGCAATTTTGAAAGTATGGCCTCTGCCATCGATTATTAATATAGCCATAAAACCATAAGAAGTATTGACCCGTGATGTGCACGTTACCTTGACGACGTCGAAATCATCCCTGGTGAGACGTAGGGCCTTCACGCGCTGCACCACGGGCTTCACTGCACGCAAAAAATAAGTATCAGTATAAAAATTGAATGATTTAATATAAATAGTATAAAATATTAACATCCGTCCGTAAAGATCCTACATAAATCTCAATTGCTTCCGTTAATCTGTATATAGTATTCAAAGGCAGTAAATCTAACTCTTGGAAATTAACATGACAATGCTTAAATATTTCGTGCCAAGGATTGCAAAAATTTAATGCGAGCACCAATAATTTTTGAGATTTATCAATTTGTCGCATAAAATCAGAAACAATAAAGTTGAATAATCAATAAAAGTTACTGCAACGAGAGCTCCAGAGCAGGTACGCTTAACTTGACTGCGACTCGCTCGTTACACGTTAAGCTCTACACTTGACCACGACACGTATAAAAGCCAGATTGATCAAGATAATTTTCAATGGAAAAGAATTTATTCCGAAATTATTTATCGCATTGATGACCAAAAAATTATATTATTGAATCTAACGCACGTATATATTTCGAATACATTCATCGCTATTTTTCACACCAGAGGAAAACGAGGAAACTGTCTCTGTCATGCAATGACGGGATGAGTTCTAAACCAAAGTGCTCCAATATTTTCAACATTCACTAAATTTAGCGTCGAACAAAATCATGAACACCTCATCGCATGAGAGTTGTCGGCAAAATAGTCCATGTACGAATATTTACGAGGAGCTTCTTGCTCGGGGGCCATACTTTCAAAACTCGCTAAGTGAACGTAAGTACTTACGCTCTATTTTCTTGTCTATGATTGGTGGATTTTGCTTGAAAGGTCGTTAATTATTGGCGGATGAACTTACGATCTCTTAACTTTTTTTGAAAGTATAGGCCCGGTTCATTAGGCAGAGACATGATCAAACGCAAGAGCTTCCGGCGACTTCAGCAGTCATCATCAACAATGGGAAGAAACTACAAGAATAAAACTGTAGTTCCCTGGAATGTGGGAGTGAGAGGCGGGGGGAGAGAGGACAGGGGGAGGGAGAGAGGACAGGGGGAGAGAGAGAGGACAAGGGGAGGGAGAGAGGACAGGGGGAGGGAGGGGACGACGTGTAGCGGTGAAGGTGAGTCCGTGGGAACGCACACAAGGAGCGACTTCGAGCACACACACAACGCACACGGCAACACACACGGCAAATGAATGGCGCGGCCGGTGAGCGACCGAACGCGACGCCAAATGAACATCGACCGCTGACGTGATGTGTGCGGGCCACAGACAGCCACGCTGCCTCATTCAAGGCTGACACACGCAGCGCTAATGTTGCTTATAATAATAATAATAATAATAATAATAGCGGTTTCAGCGATTATTAGGCCGTAGGCCTGTCGCCGATTCTTAACATCGCAGAACATTCACAGCATTTTGCGGTCTCGAACTCGCAATTCACTGCTACAATTCTGCTTAGCTTAACCGCCCGGCCTCCT